ATGAAAACATTGGTGAATGCCACAAATTCTCCTAAATCACTCGTACGCACAATTTAAGAACAAATCTGTGTGTACGAACGGTTCTTGCATGAGGCCCAATGTCCTCTATGTGTCCTAAGAATGGGCTTTCTTCAAATGGAGAGGTGTTTGGAGGGAGGGTGGCCTCGATGAAATGCCCCCCACCCTGAAGTTTGCCAACTGCCTGGTGTGGTGTTGGGTTGGGGTGACATTATTATCAGTCATTTGTCCACTCAGATCAGGGGAAGTGGCTTGGATGGGTGTTTGCACTGGGCCCAGCACTGATGTATCCACAGTGGTCAGTTTTGAAGAAGTCTGGTTTTACCAACTGAGGCAAGTGTGGGTAGTGAACCCTGGCTGAGAGCAATTGAAAAAGTGTGGTTCTGGTTTTCGTTGTTCCTTGTAATGTGTAGGAACATGGGGTCTACTGAGTCCAAGAACAATGTGAAGTTGGTGAGCAGGACGTCCATAACAGAATTTATGTTAGCGCCATACAATGCAACTCTGTATTTTTCAAGTGAGTGTTTGCTAATAGTTTCAAACTGTTCACTTTTTTAGGTCGTGGACTTTTTAGCTTGCCAAATTCACTCAGCATCTGGGCAAAAAATGTAGGAAGTGGCTTTTCTGGAGCCTGGACATGTTCCAATAGTCCTCTCATTATGCATTCCTGGTTATCATAAGGCAGAAAAACTGACTGAAACACCTAACAAAATTGAGTCTATGAGGCAATATGAGAGCTAAGCACATTGTACCACTTTTTTGGGCTCTTTAGCCAGGAAGTGTGGTAGTTCATTCAGTAGTTGTGTTTCAGTCAAGTTCAGTGAGGACCTATAGGAACTAACAGCTTGCAGCTAGTCTTCAGGTGGTACTTTATCTCCAGAAAACACAGTACGTTCCAAATTTGCATAATGCAAAGCTGCTGCAATCACTCTGGAAATGTTATTAAGCTCAAGTGAGTGTTTCTGAAAAAAGAGTCAGAATCATCCGCAGTGACTGCAGTTCCAGCTCTGTCTACAGTAGGCACATCAGGTGTAGGAGATATTTTTGGCTGATTAGCTGCAGGGGACATTGAGTTTCCTCTGTTGAGTTGCTGCCACTGTTTAAGCACATTCTGCTGCAAGTCTAGTGAGTCATGTTAACAGTCACATAGTCTGTCAACTTCTGATTTTAAGTCCAGTACTTGTTGGTTAAGGTCTGTGTTTTTATTATCAGTAGAGGTACGTAGTGACAAAGAAACAAGCTCCATGTCAGAGTCACAGTCACTCTCATCAGTCACGTCTGGGTGACAGACCATTGCGCTCATAGAAAAAATTAACACTGTTGTATGTAATGAAAATACAGTAGTCAGTCAGATGTAATCAATGTCAACTATATACATACAGTATATATATATA